CCAACCTGATTCATCTCATGTCAGCTAACATTACCTGTCGTCGAGAAAGGCGATAGCTAGGTATGCGTAACACATGTCCTAACCATCTCAATTGGTGTAACTTCACAACCTCGTCTACTGATTTCCCCTCCTTACCTAGCCCTCGACCGATACCTAACCTCAATATTGCTCACCCTATTATACCACTTCACACAGGAGGATAGGACACAGGCACCTATGATCAAAGGCAGCTAGCCGGCCTTTTCATGTCTTCCACTTTCAATGGCCAGGTCTCACAACCACAATGGAGGATGGAGCGTTTCTCTCCCCCGTAAAGCCATGAGGTTAAATGTTTGATGTTATGTTTGACCTTTTGTCAATTTTGGTTGAACTCCACTCAATTCTGTCAACTTGGTCACACCATTCAATCTAATTTCACTTTATTCTCTACTTGATTAATGTTATTGTATTAGGCAGTTTTCTTTAGAATCGCTTGATTGTAACCTAAGTCTCTCAAGTATAAAGACACATTGTGGGGAACATCCCTTTTGTTTCTGTGGCATAGTATTATAACTATGCAAATGGTAAATCACAGTGACTAGCAGGATTTTCGTTGTCTGGATCATAGTCGTATATTTTCTTATTTAGGTAGGAGCTGCATATTCAGGAAGTTTCTGTGTTACTTTATGTACCTTCATTAATTCCCTAATTACAAATTTTCTCGTGCTGCAAAATCACTACATAACCGTCGTGCGTGGTGTTTGCAACAGCATCTGTATGCTATGGGGGAGCCAAATTTGTACACTATTAATGTGTAATTTTTCACATCGCATATCAAAGTCGTTTATCTGAAAGATGGCATATAAGCTGTTAACAACGACTACTGTTTTCTATTATTTATTCAACGCCTCTTTGAGTAACCTCCTCAGACAGCCGAAAATTTGGATAACACCTGTTAACTGACAAAATTATAACGTTTTTATTAAGGAAAAACAATCATTAAAACTTATTAAGGCCGTGCTGAAAATTGAGTAATTTAAAGTTCATTGATATACTTTTGTGGTGAACAACAAAACAGAAACTGTTGCAAAAGAAAATATGCTTGTACTTATAATTTACCGTTGTCAATTTGCGGATTTATTCTGGCTGAATTGATTGGCCTCTGTTAGCCTATAGGACTGCCTTAACGAGTTTCGATTTTTCTCTTAATATTACTTTGGCATTATCTGCTTTGTGGTCAAGTAGCTGTGATATGCAAGCACAAACGTCGGAAAAGTGACGAAACACTCAACCTGGATTTTACTACTAACCACTGCCGAAGAAATAGAATCACTAGATAATACATTACTGAAAGCTCCATTTCCCCGTGGAAGTTGAACATCAATTGATATTTTTGATTTGTGCATTATTTAGAATAATCTGCATGCTTATATTTGAATTCGTTTCAGATCCTCTGATCCAAACTGATAGTCAAGTTTTAACTACGCATGTAATCTGATATTTTCATACGTACATATATTTAAGACGATTTTGCTGTGATTATCAACACGGATTGTTCACAGTCTTATTTGTAATATCTGTGCTAGGAAAAGAGTTCGAATACTGTCACTAACTGACTCCACTCGGTTTAGTTGTTAGTATTAAGTGTTAGTCATCTTTCGTTCCCAGTATCTCAAGTTCAGCAAAGACGAAGGAAAGTAGTCGAAAATTTATTCAATACTTCTGTTAGAATTTTCAATCGACATTTACTTATTCACTTCTTATTTACAACCGACCGTTGTCTTTTGAGCTATAAACAAAAGAAGACGCAACAGAGGAGGGAGTTTTCTTTTTGACGTATCGTTTTCATGAGCTGTGCAATCGTATCTATATTTAACAGAGAATTCATAAAACCAATCAGATGCTGGTATTACGTAATGTGAGGCATAATCTAGGAGGATGTGACTAAATGGAGATGGATGGAAGTCGCTATTATACGCAATTGGTGTGAAAAATGATTACCATCTTTCCATTAGCTTTCGTTTATTTAGATCGATTAAAGTATTTATGTAAAATATATATAAACAATAGCAGTAATAGTAACTATAATTGTAAAATAATAATAGACTGAAACAATAAGATGCACCATAGTTATAGTGAGAATGTTACTCTGGTTACAGTAAGACGAGTCATTGTATGTAATGCTTTTAAATACGGAGGTCCGGTTTCAGGTCGAGAAAAACCGGTAATTCGGCTATGTATAGATGGCGTATTCGAAGTCGTTTCTTACGTTATTGTAGCACTGTGAAGTAATCTTGAGGTGTTCTTTCTTTCTCTTCTGGTTAGATTACACCTCTTATTGAGTGATAAATCTTCTACAACATAGTTACCAGTATCTGATTGGTTTTCTTAATTGTCTGTTTAGTATAAATACGATTGCACAACTCTTGAAAATGACTCGTCAAAAAGAAGATTTTCTCCGCTCTTACATATTTTGAGAATGTCTAAATATGGGAATTTTCTGTTCATTGAAATTGCCTTTTGCATAATAAATACAGCTACATTTAAACTGTTACATATACCTGAAATCTTTCTTATTGAATGTTCGCCTATTATTACCAGAAAGTTTGTCGATGGTTCAGTAGCAATCTAACGACAGAAGACAAGGGCCAGGCAACAGATCATTTATTGAGAAAATCAACAGATATTTATAGATTTTTATGTACATTATCATTCGTTATTGTTAGCAGAGAAGTAACGCTTTCTGATTGGTTGTTTTCCTGCTGAAGGTTATTCTGTCATCTCTTGTTGCCGTTTCTTAGACGGTCCGTTGATATATCTGCGAATCTTATCCGCCCACGCTAAATCTGCTGTGATTGGCTGTTGAGTTCCTCAAGGCTAGGCTTTGTTCCTGTCTCTTCTCATGACCCCAATTTGGGACGCAAACATCGACGTCAACTGTTGTCTACAATTTTGTCTTGCAGACAGCTCTCACCGCAGCAGAATGATCGCCAACTACGCATGTGGTCCGGGTTTTGGTTTCCCGCTGATACACTCCTAAACCTGGCTTATCCTTTAATAAGCCCGGTGAAGAGGAAAGGTTGGGAGTGAGGCTAGCAAACACACCCGGTAAGAGACGAATCTCCTCTACTATAATTTTAAAGCTCAAGACTGAAGCCCTGTGTTGTATCGAGAACGCAAGCGAATTAAATATGATAAAAATTATCCCCGACATCTTTTGTCCACGATCATCACTCATTCTTATTACTGCTGCTACACTGAACCAAGTGCAATTTAATCAATCCTGATTGGTATGTGGCTCATTGACCAAGGTTGTCGACTTTCAGTCAATTGGTTCCGGATACGAATCCGGCTTCACCTACTACAGCTTAAGCATCTGTGTAGTGTCATCAGACATCACACAATAAGTGAAACTGGTAACCTGATACATGAGAAATATGTTCCAGGTAAATGGGCTCTAGCCACTAATTAGAATGTCTACTGATGGATGTATAACTATCCAGTCTTACATAAACTAGTCATTTTATTAATAAATTGTCCACTTCATTGCTTTTTATCACATTCACTACCGTGATATCTGGTTATTCTACTTATAATTAAGTTCTGAAGTTAAGTAATGTGTTAGTAGAGTTGGTTTGTGATGTTCTATTACAAGATTCAGTGAACCAAGTCAGTGTACGTTTATACATGGTTTTTATTCTGTTGCTTGATTTGCAAATGATTTTCCTATCCATTCATTCGGCATATAAAAAATAACAATTATGTACCTTATTCCTAGAGCCAAATTACTCATATCTTGATTTACCAATATTTAGTGCATAGTATTGTCTACAACACACTTCGCATGCGCTTGTTTTATCTGTCACTGTGTTAACTATGTTAAAAATCTCAGCTATACACCAAAGGCCTTAAAGTCTCCTTTAGTGGGTGCAGGTTAGTCCACTTGCAGATAAAAAGATAAAATCAACTGAACAAAGTAACTAAAACAAATTGGTGACTAAAAGTTGTTTTAACAAGTAAATGAGAAATTTTCCGGGGCCACTTATTGTAAGTTCATGTTCTTCCACATGACCGAAACAAATCGACTGTCATAATATTGATATCTGGATTAGTCGTTTTTATGATGTGTAAGGTGGTATAAACATAATGTATCATGACTGTGTTTAGTGAAGTGATAGTGTGGTGAGAGCTGTCTACTAGCCAAATTGGTAGACAGTAATTTACGTCAATATTTACGTTCTCAAGATTTGTCGTGAGAAAATTTGACCAAAGACTGATTCAAAACCGACCACAGCAGACTTTGCGTAGGCGGATACAGTTAACATATAGATGATCTGACATTCAAGAAACAGTCACAGAGGGATGAAAGATTAACTTTAAGTGAGAAACAACCAATCAGAAGACTGTGTTTGTTTACTTAACTAAACTATAATAATGTTCATGAAAATATATAATATATGCTTTGATTTCCTCAATAAACGATCTGTTGCCTGACTCTTGCCTTCTGTCGTTACAATAGGATCTTACATAAAGTAGTATGTCATCTTTTCTCACACATATTGTGTTTTATTGTGTGATCAATTCATCATCTTTTGTCTCACCTTGGTCTTTGTCGGATCGCCAACCACCCAGAATAGCTATTGTCAGCCAATAAGAACAATTCATTCCAACGGTTGTGAGCCGACTTTACTGTGGTAAAGAAAGTGTATAAATAGGGTGTGTTGTTTCCTATTAAAATATGAGGTATCTTACATTCACAGATCAGCCCTTGTCTTTTGATATTTGCATGGCTCAGTGAAGCAGAGGATACAACGGACAAATTGGCACATTGGCGTACCATTTGAGTTCATTACCGTTATAACAATTAGCGGCGCGTATATAACATGTAGCTACTGGTCTTCAAATTCATATATATATATATATATATGTTTGTTCGATGTATTATGTAAATTGTAGTTTAGAAAAATAAGAACTCTTAGGATAACTGAATGACCTATATTCTATTACTGATTGACTCTTGCAGAAAGCGAAAGAAATGGCTGCTAAAGAACGAGAAGAGAGGCGTCTTCAGCCACTAGAGAGTCGTTTGCGTAAAGTAATTGTTGGTCAAGAAGCTGCTATTCGCACTGTTAGTGCAGGTCAGTCTTTTTTTTTCCCAAAGATAAATTGGTTCGTATTCCTCCTTTGTCGCTGCAATCATATACACGTGTTTGTTAAATGGACATTGAGAGATGACAAAGAGTGAAAGTATCTGCACCTTGGGGGATGATTAATTTTAGGCATACCACCAATAGTTTATAGCTATTAGTTATTAGCATTCCGAAGACGACAACCAAGCAGTCTCCAGCTCTCTATGTGGCTCAAGCCAAATGTCAAGGATTTCATGGATTAATGCCAGCTTTTGTTTTGACCATATCTTAATCTTTTCGACTGTATCACCTGCCAGTTTACTTAGATTAAAACTCGATAATTGAGTAGAATAACCGAAAACAAGAACTAAAAGTTTTCATGGACAGTCATGAAAATAATTCTAATTGATGCTGATACATTCGCTGATTTGATTCTGTCGGAAATAGGCACACCACACAATGCTTACTTTCGTCCTTTTTTATGGTTTCCAGAATTTTTTCCCGATTATATTCAAAAGTAGAACTACTGAGGTGGGTATACAGATGAATGACTTGACGCATTAGTATAAGGAATAAGCAATTATAGAACGTATACATATATATATATGCTGTTAGTGGTATGACTCAAAAGCGATGAACTATCTGAGTAAAATAAACACGTATGAGTTTATCTTAACACATATTTTGAGTGATTATAGGAACATACGTGTGAAACATGAAGATACATTTATGTTCAGATTTTAAAAGTAATAGAAGGTTTTTATTTGATCCCAGAAGTTGTCGTTAAATCTTCCAAAAGTTAAGTTTCAGATAACTTGTGTAATTTGGAGTTTTATGAAGTATATATCGGTTCACACTTGCTACTTTAAATTAAAACAGTAGTATACGGTGCATTGTGCTAAATTTTCTACATACAACTGTCCATCTATTTGTTGCTTTGCATCACAGCTGTTTGTCATCAGACTTTCATCCATTGTAATAATTTATCTTGAGAAAAAAGTTATTGATACATCATGCTGGATATTTGTTGCAGACTGCTGTAAAACAATGGTGAAAATAGTATTTTGCAAAACTATCTTAAAGTTTGATCATGGATTGATATCAGTTAAAGAACCATTAAAAACCAGGGAGCAATGGGCAGCTGTTTCGTCCTAGTTTGGGAATCATCGTGAGTACGCACTCACTGCCAGGGTTCGAACCTAGGGCGTTACGGTTACAAGGAGGGCTCGTAGACCGTTCAGCCACTGGGAAAAGTTAGAATTCATGGGCTATTGAGTCGAGTGGGTGCGTACTGCCGACGAGTCCCAAACAGGGATGAGACAGCTGCCCAGTGCTCCCTGGTTTTTAATGGTTCTCTAACTGATATCAATCCGTGGTTAAACTCGAAAACCAATCATACATTAATGTAGCATGATAATCTTATTACTGATCTTTAATTTTTATGACCAAGTAAGTTATGGTATTTGCGTTTAGGGTTTTCTACGCTCACTTCACCGGTTCCTCTTTGAATGGCAAGATGATATTCTTTTCTCAAACAGTAAATCTAATTGACTCTGTTTAACTTAGGAATTTTATTTTTAGTCATCGTGGTTCTTAAGCGGCTACAATGAGAGAAGGTCCTTTAATCTTAACAGATACTTTTTAATCGCACCGGGTAGGAAATTTTGTGTTGCAGATATTAGAGTCAGGGACTGGAGTAGTACATTTTCAGCGTCATAGATTGGTTTCAAGTAAGATGCTTGATCAATAATTAAGTTTTTATATCTCTGAGTAGGAAAACTTCCCATCCATCATTGTTTTTTTTTAAATATCACGTCTATTGTTAGATGGCATTCGAAAAGTTCACATGATACTACGTAATTACTTAAGTAGCTAAGAAAATTAGAGTAGTTCTCATTGAACTTTGATAATGTGCATTAATTTTCTTATGGTACTTTTTATTTACCGACTGAATTTCACTGAAGTCAACACAATGAAGTTAATATTTATTGTCCAGGTATTGTATAATTATGTTAAAAAGCAGATTACAAGTCATTGGCTTCATTTGTGGTTGCTTATTCTAGTGTCTAAAACTTTCAAGCATATTTATATAAAGTTTTATTTAATTGTATCTTATACCAGATTTATTTTAAAACTATTTTCCATAAACCTGGTGGAATTTGATTAATTCATTCAATGAGTACAACTTCGTACTTTTATTTAACCTTAGTGGGTTTTTTTTCGCTTTTAATTTCAGCTATTCGACGCAAAGAAAATGGTTGGTATGATGAAGACCACCCACTGGTGTTCCTTTTTCTTGGTTCATCTGGCATAGGTAAAACAGAGTTGGCTAAACAAGTCGCTGCATATCTACACAAAGACGTCAAAAAAGGATTTATACGTATTGATATGTCCGAATATCAGCAAAAGCATGAAGTATGTTGTTTTAGTTTATCTGTGATTATGAGCTAGCTTTTTCAGACTACGATTATTTGTATTCACTATATTTTATTATGTACTGCTCACAGTAGCTGTACTTGTGATTCAAATTGATAATTAAATGAAGAAACATTTTGTTGAGATCAGTCTGGAAAGCCCACTTGTTTTTTTGTATTCTCTTCCAATATTTTCTAATGATTGTGTCAAATAGATGTAGGAAACTGCATATTATCATTAATTGTTCCCCCATGGTATTGGTTATTGTATTTAATAATTATTAATGGAGTGTTATATTGTTACAGGATTTCATCATGAGCTGACATTAGTTAGAGAACCATTGGAAAACCTGGGAGTACTGGACAGCTGTTTCGTCAACCTAGTTTGGGACTCTTCAGCAGTACGCACCCACCGGGATTCAAAACCAGGACCTTCTGGTTACAAGGCGAGCTCGTATACCATTAAGCCACTGGGACCCGATCCAATGGCCCATGAATTCTAACTTTTCACAGTGGCTGAATGGTCTACAAGCTCTCCTTGTAACCAAAAGGTTCTAGGCTCGAATCCCGGTGGGTGCGCACTGTGAAGAGTCCCAAACTAGGACGAAACAGCTGTCCAATACTCTCAGGTTTTCCAATGGTTCTCTAACTAATGTCAGCTCATGACTAAATCCTGTAACTAATCAAATCCCTACAAACCAACACTTGAATTTTATATGGTTAGTTGTATGTTTAGGGCACATAGTGAAGTTTCAGATCTTCATCCAAAGTGTATACAATATTACGTTTTAAATTAACATCATCAGGCAACATGTATTTTATGTTCACATAAATTTTTTCAAGTTAGCTAGGACACTGAGGGACTTATTCTTCAAAAAGTTGCATTCAGCGGTATTTTTCAAAGCAGTTGATCTATTGTGAACCGAAACAATCAATGTACTCATAGGATTCTAAATGAAAGGTCATGTTAGACATAGGTATGTATTCCTTCCATTTACTAATGATAGCAAGCTAAAATAGCCTATTCGATGAACCGTTTTATAGTAGTACGTATGCAGAATGTTTTCAATGTCTTTCAGTTAGACTAAATATCTGAGTACCAAAGTTTAATATTTTGGTGGCTGCTTACCATCCTTTTTTGTAATTTTTATGGATATTTGGTGATTATACTTTGTTTGTTAAGTTCAATAAAGTGAATACATCAAAAGCTACTACTAAATACTCAACACAATATGCTAGGTAGTTGTTAGATCTCCGTTACCTGGAACAGAATTCTTATGAACCAGGCTATGAGCTACGCTTATTATATAAAGTCGGATGATTCCACTTAGTCGCCTAGGTTGAAGTGGGTGGAGCGGGATTCAAACCTGGTACTCATTGACCAAATGTCGAGGGCATAAAGCAGTGTGTTTCCATTTTATTCAATCGAATCGATCATAGTATATTAAACACTTAAGTATTTTTTTTCCTGCCAGTCAAACTGTTTCCTGAAGTGTCTGATCCACGAGTGTGGTCACACTCTACAGTGTTTCTTCAGTCCCTGGTGTGTTTTACTGTTTATGTGTATCATTTGTATTGTTTAAAAAAATTGGTTATCGTATTTGAGTGTAAAAGGTACTTTCCATCCTCTCAACTCTTCATTGATTATACTTGCGTGGTACACATGTTTGGTTTCTGCTTAATGTCAGTATCATATTTCAGCTATTTTTACAGTCTTCCATATTCGGCATCCCATTAAACTTATAAAGACTTCTAAATATTCAAAAATCATCTGATTTTACGTTTAGTGTGGATTACTGCATATGCACAGAAATTTTGCAGACTAGGATTTTTATCTTAGGTGTCGGTGGCACAGCGGTAAAATGCTCGCCAAACACGCATGTAGTCTGGGGTTTAGTCCCCGTCCGACGCTTTCCTTTACCTGTTACCTAAACTTCGAACCTCTAGCTTGAAGCTCTATGTTCCATCGGGAACGTAAAGGAATAAAAAAAGATTTATCGTACTAACTGGTTCAAAATTGGTGACGTACATTTTATGATGATAAAAACATTGTCTAGATCAAACAAGGCAACTTCGAGTAATATTTTCATTATTATCGGTTTCTATAAGAAAATAAAGGTGTAACTATGGAATCCAGAGAGGTACTTGTTTTTACTTACATGTTATTTTTAGGTTACGGAACTGTGTGTAAGAGTATTGCAGATTTTAATGTCTTATCTAGTGAAATCAACAATTATGTTTGCACTGTATCGTAAAAGAAGGATGTCATTTGCTTTTTCGTATACCAAAGCTGATTTGCTAAAATATATTAATTTTTATGAGCAGACAGTTTGGGTAATATTTATTAATAGTCAAGTTAATTTATACGAAAAAGCATTGAAATAGTTTTCACTTTGACCGATAATGACTATTATTTCCAGATTACTGATATTGCTAGTAGAAATATAGTTCATCAGTTATAGAATTCACTTTTCAACCAATTTGCCCTGGGCATCAATCGAAGTCCACCCACTCCATCCTGGGCAGAATCATTCGTCCGTAAAAAATAATTGTATCTAGTTTCCTGGTACTTGAGAATTCTGTTCTAGGAGATGCGGAGTTCTAACTAGCTAGTTTAACATTGTCCTTAGTTGGAACGCATATTTATTAATATGCAGATTTTGTAGTAGGATAAAAAATGACCGTATCACTAACAAAAATTTCCTTCTTCTTAGGTTTATTTGCTTATTTTTGTTATTTTATTGGGCACTTTTAACTCTTCGTTAATATTTTTGCACAGAAGTGACCAGCTTATATGTATACAACTCATACCAAATCACATTCGTTTCACGAAAGGTAGTTTTCGTCGTCCACTAGTAGTCCAATGGAAGTCTTCTTTGATACTTGAAATAAGTTTCTGATAGATTCTAATCTTAAGGTGGACACTTTCATCCAGGGAAATGCAAGTACATCTGTTTGTCAAAACTTACATCTTAAATCCGACTGCTAACTGAACACATACCCCTCTGTGTCTTTTAGTTGATTCAGTAAACAAAGATGATTTGGATATGATGAAGAAGATTTGTAGCTCAGGTGGATGATTTTGATGTAGTTGTGTTTTCTGAGCTGGATAGTTTATTTGTGAAGCTTTCATCGCCTTTTTAACCAATATCTTCAGCGCATACTTCAGTTTGAAAAGCTGACGTATATAATTCAGAAGAAATATATATCAATCATTTATTTAGACGGTGTGAATTGAGTAGCAATTCAGTAAAACAATATGCTAAGGTTTGGTTTCAGAAAGTTTTGAGTATGTAAAATCTTGAATATTGAATACTAGTTATTCATAACTTGTCTTGTTCATAAAGTTAGACTGAATGTATTTCAGGTTGCATGGAGGACCTCATCATGAACTGACATCAGTTAGAGAACCATAGGAAAACCAGTGGGGTTGTACTGGACAGCTGTTTCGTCAACCTAGTTTGGGACTCTTCATCAGTACGCACACACACTGCTGGGTTCGAAACCAGGACTTTCTGGTTACAAGGCGAGCTCGTAGACCAGTACTCCCAGGTTTTCCAGTGGTTCTCTAACTGATGTCAGGTCACGATGAAATCCTCCATCCAATCAAAAAATTCCCTACAAAACCAATACTTGAAAATTCATCTGATGCTCAAATGTATTTATACTCTATTCATGTATATTTTTTTCTCAATGAACTATGAAAATAGGAAGTTAAAGTATGAAATATTAATTTGAACTGTCACTTGATTTCACTGACTTATTGATTTTATTATATATGTATCTAATTAGTATGATTTTATGATAATTAAATTCGTTCTCATGTGATAGCCTGAAAATTGTTGACTATCACAATCTTATCTGTTCTTTGATACAGCTATAGAACTTTCTTTTCGAAAGTGATTATTTATGTCACTATACTGTGATTTGTCGTTGTTGCTAAATGTGTGCATAGAAAGTGGAAACCGGTTGAGTGAATATTTACTGATATGACAATGGAGTGACGTATTGATTACAAGTCAATCTATTTATCTTCGTTTAACAATTCAGTTAGTTATACGCAATGTTTCTTGTGTAGTGTATAATCATTGTGAAAAAGAGAGTCATTTGCTTCAACTAAATATTATTAATCTAACTAATCGATTTGCGCTTTTAATGCCGGAATTACTTCTTAATTATTTAGTCGGTGAACCTCAATTGCATTTCTTACTGCGCGCTGGTCGCTGAATGGGAAAATGGTCGCCAACCATACAAGTGATTCGGGGTTTGACCCTCAGTCGGCTCACTGCTAAACCTTGCTTCGGTCTGTCGGGCAGTTTTCGACATAGAACTTTGCACATATTTGCGGCAGTTAAAGTCGCCACACTCCATGTAGCACACAAAGCAAGAGAAGAAAGTAGGAGAAATGCATAATAGAGACAGTAAACAGAGGTGTGAGACAAAGGAATAGTAATAACGAAGAGCAAGACAGTTTCATTGGAAATTTTAAGTCAAAATGAGTGGATGCATCTCCGCCATTGAGAACGATTTTGAGCCATGTCACCAATTGTTTCCAACCATTGGTTTCTACCGTCCCGAAGACCCCAACCAGGAAGTCTACATCTTCCTACGTGGCTTAGACTAACTGTTGTGGATTTCATTGACTGGTGGCATGTTTTGGTTTGACCGCCGCTAGCTCTTTTCCAGCCTGGCCCTATATCAGCTAACATTGCCCGTCGAGGAAGGCGATGACTAGGCATACGTAACATACTTCCTAACCATCTCAGTCGATGTAATTTCACAGTCTCGTCTATTGATTTCCCCGCCTTACCTAGCACTCGATGCCTAACCTTAATATTGCTCACCTTATCATACCACTTCACACGGGAGATAGAACGCAGACACCTATAATCGAAGACAGCTTATCTTTTCATATCTTCTGCTCTCAGTGGCCAGGTCTCACAGCCATAAAGGAGGACGGAGCGGACTGTTGAGCAGTACACACGCCCATTGGTCGACAGC